GGAGCCAAGAGTTCTGGGTTCTAGTCCCTGCTCTGGGGGCAGCATGGCCTAGTGGTGAGAGCAGGGGGCGGAGCCAAGAGTTCTGGGTTCTAGTCCTTGCACTAAGGGCAGCATAGACCAGTGGTGAGAGCAGGGGGTCGAGCCAAGAGTTCTGGGTTCTAGTCCCTTTTCAAAGGGCAGCATGGCCCAGTGATGAGAGCAGGGGGGTGGAGCCAAGAGTTCTGGGTTCTAGTCCCTGCTCTGGGGGCAGCATGGCCTAGTGGTGAGAGCAGGGGGCGGAGCCAAGAGTTCTGGGTTCTAGTCCTTGCACTAAGGGCAGCATAGACCAGTGGTGAGAGCAGGGGGTCGAGCCAAGAGTTCTGGGTTCTAGTCCCTTTTCAAAGGGCAGCATGGCCCAGTGATGAGAGCAGGGGGGTGGAGCCAAGAGTTCTGGGTTCTAGTCCCTGCTTTGGGGGCAGTATGTGCCAGTGGTGAGAGCAGAGGGCAGGGTTGGAAGGAATTGAGCAGATATGTAAAAAATGCTAGATGGAAAAGTGTTATAGGAGAAAAATCCTTTGTTTCTTTGCAGCCTTTCTGGAGGAAAAACGGGCCCTTTTCCCAAAGGAATGTCTGTAAAGAATCCAGGCAGAAATCTAGTCTGGTTTAAATAATTTAGCTATGGCCACTTTAGTGGAATTTGCTAAAAGAGCGCAAGGGCTGTTTTATTGAACAACTTAACTATCCCAAATGAATAAAAGGGAATAATTTTGTATAGTTATAAGGAAATAATGTAAATAGAAGTTTAAAAAAATGTATGCATGTATATATTGTGTAAATATGTGAGATTTCTAGGACCTAACCAGGGATTTTGTATGTTTATGAAATTCTGTTTTGTAGCTTTCAGGTAAATGAATTGGTTTTGTTTTGAATAATGCCATTTCATTCAGAGTTGCAAAACTGACGACATTTTTGCCAGATATTGGTAATTAGTGTTGCTTGGCTTTTTATATCTAGCATTTAACCTGTAAGGTGTCTCCATGCTCAATATTTTTATAGACCGAGTTGTGGCTCTTATAAGAGGCAGCCAGAACCAGAAAAATGGAAAGAGATTCTGGATTTCTTGTTTTTGGCAAAATAGCAAACAATCAGGACTTTAAAGTAAATAGCAATCAGAACTCTAAAGTTTAGTGTGTCTCTTTTTAAGGCAGAGATTCTAAGCTACTGATACTTTTTGGCTCCTTCTGATATTCAAAATTATCTCTGTGAATACAAGTGGCAGCACGAGAGGGATCTGCTTACATGCATAATACACCTGTTTTTAAAAAAATTACCCATACCTCCAAGATAAATTAAGCCTATGTGAAGATATCAGTGTAGTGGAATTTGCCCCTTGCCCGAAAAAGATAAGGAACTAGCCTAACAGCAGTCAGGGGCCCACTAGCCTGTCGAGCAAGAATGAAGCTGTATTTCACATTTTCTAACTTGTGACAGGCACAAGCAGGCAGAAATCAGCAACATAGCTATGAGAAAGTAAAACCGCACATAGGCATAAGATAAGAGTACCCCTCCCCAACTACTGGAATGCCAATCGTGAACGTTAGAAATAATGTATTGCTGTGCTTTAACCAATGAAATGTAAAAGCCAATCAATCTGTTATTCATGTATCCGATAAAAGGCTATGCACAGAGCGGCACGGGGTCGCTCCTCGCTATTTTTTGCTGTAAAGCTCGAGGGGACGACCATCAGCGCTGATTAATAAAAGTCTGGTAAATCCTCCTTCGGGCATCCGTGTCATTCTGTTACACCGGTTTGAGTCCGGTACGGTTACATCAGGAAGATATGGAATACACTGGCCCTGAAAGATAACTTTTACAAAAAAGGCATTGTAAACATCCATTTGTAAGAAAATGTATTATTGCAAATATTATTGTTTAATCCTGGGATAAAAGTAATGTTTATAAAGTAACCCTGTAACAATGTATAATGCATATGATTTTGTTTTGGAAAGGAAAACCCTTTAAGGATGATGAAGTGGTAGTTGGAAATAAAACTTGGTCTGCTTATAAAACAAAAGAACAGGGAAGTATTGGGGTAACTGCAGGCAAAGAGAGAAATCAGAAAGAATACTGTGAAAGAAAGAAGTGTTTTAAGATATAATGGTGGTAGAAATGTTTTCTTTTGTCTTTCAGAACATCAGAAAGAGCTGATACCAGCTGAAGTGCAATCAGAATAATCTGGATTTATTGTCACAACAAAAATTGTTTCACGTGTTGTGTCTCGTGTTCTATTATATGTTGTTTTGTGTCATTTTGTCCCAATGCTAGCATTATTGTGTATTGTTTTGGGGAAAGAGGAGATACTGTAGTAAGCAGGAAAAATCAAGATAAGGATCAGGCATTGGCATGGTTGTTGTGGCAAACTTGCTGGGCTTGGCAAGCTGCTAAAATTGATTCTGAAACTATGTAAGTAAAGCAGAAGTTGGAGCGGGTAGGTACAAAAAGAAACTATGTAGCGAGTACAAAAAGGTGCAGGCGAAACTTAAATTCCTGTAAATAGCAACAGCTTAGTATGGTAATGATTTAAGCTAGTAAAAGTAATATTTTTAACGACTAGGCAGTTAACCAAAAGTGAACATAAACAACAGATAAACCAAAGGGCGAATGTCCCCATTCCTGAAGCACACGTAGGGGCAATAATGGAAACAACACATGCCCTCTTTTCTGTAATCCCAGGATGGGCTGGTTAAACAAACGGGTGCGTCTAGACTGGCAAGATTTTGTGCAAAAGCACGTGCTTTTGTGCAAAAACTTGCCAGCTGTCTACACTGGCCGCTTGAATTTGCGTAAGAGCACTGACTTCGTAATGTACAAAATCAGTGCTTCTTGCGCAAATACTTTCATGCTCCCGCTCGGGAAAAAGCCCTCTTGTGCAAGAATACTTGCAAAAGAGGGCCAGTGTAGACAGGGAAGAACTGTTTTGCGCAAAAAAGCCCCGATGGCTAAAATGGTGATCAGGGCTTTCTTGCGCAAAATTGCGTCTAGACTAGCCACGGATGCTTTTATGCAAAAGTACTTTTTGCGCAAAAGCCTCGTGCCAATCTAGACACGCTTTTGCGGAAATACTTTTAATAGAAAAACTTTTCTGTTAAAAGTATTTCCGCAAAATCATGCCAGTCTAGATGCAGCCATTATGAACCTGAATCTCGAGGCTAATACCTGGAAACCAGGAGCCATCATTGCCAGGGGTGTGGGACACACCTATTGGGTCTTAATCCCTAGTAACAACTTAATTTTTGTGCCAGAGTATATTTGAAACCCCAAGAATAGTTTTGTAATTTCTCTGCAGATGCTGTTAATCCTAGGCCTATGGAGGGTGGAAGCGTTTGAAGGTCAACATATTGTTATTTAAACAAGAACAAGTGCAAAAACAATTGCTGCTCCACATTTGATATGTCAACTTGACCTGTCCTCCCACAGCTCAAATACTGTATGGGGCAAGGATCCCTCTCCTCCACTATCAACCATCAACTGACCGGGTAACTTGGATCACTGACAGCATCTCTAATTTTTAGAGGGGTAGCCGAGTTAGTCTGTAACAGGAAAAACTTAAAAAACAAATAGTTTGGTAGCACTTTATAGACTAACAAAACATGTAGCTGGTATCATGGGTTTTCATGGGCACAGCCCATTTCTTCAGATGACTGGCATGAAGTAGCATCAAGAAGGTTAGGAGCAGCAGTGAGTGGGCTGGGCAGTACATATTTCCCTTGCTCATGACTGGAGGGCTGCTGTGCTGAGACGTGAACATGGGCCCAGCTTTTTTATTCTTGAAGGATTTTTTGCTGTTTCATTGTTCTTTTGAGAGAAAAAAATTATTGTTCTCGTCTGCTTGTGATGCTCAGAAAATGTCACCTGGATGCTTTTGGAAACAGAATCAGAAAACTCTCCCAGTACTTACGAATCTAACAGACACACAGAGTTTAGTTTCCTTAGTATTATTTTGCGGATAGTTACTGACTGTTCTCTTTCCAGCTTCAGGAGCTGATGTTTCTAAACTGCTGTGCTTGCCTCTAGAATATAGCATGCTTTTGGGTAAGCGCCGCATGGCTGGAGCCTGAGCTCTACTCACACCACAGCCCGGAGTCCCCTCCCACACCAAAACTCCTCCCCAGAGTCTGCGCTCTGCAGCCCCTCCTGCATCCCAGCCCTCTGCCCCAGCTCAGCCCAGAACTCCTTAGTCCCAGTCCAGAGCCCACACCCCAACCGCCTGCCCCTCCCCTATAAAAGTGAGTGAATGTAGAAGAGAATGAGCGATGAAGGAGGGGTTGAGCAGTGGTCAAAGCCTAGAAAAGGGGTGGGGTCTCTAGGAAGGGGTGGGGCAGGGGTTGTGGCAAGGGGGGTGAAGTTTGTGCAATTAGACAGTTGGCAACCCTATGAATCCTATGTGCTACTCCTGCCCTTGCCGCCGTCACTGGGACATTTCTTCAGGGAGGAGGCTGGTACAAATCCAGCTATGGAGCCTCTTGGGCTGCTGCATTTCTAATGTAAAAACAAACGGAACTTTCCGTTCCCTTTTTAAACACACAGATCATAAGCTCATAGGGGATAGAAGCAGGGGTGAAAGTAATTTGTATTTCTTACAGGTACTTTGATATCACAATCTGCCCTCCTTGGGCGGGGCGCCTTAGAGTAGGGGGATGTGTTGCGATACAACAGTACCTGTAAGAAATTTAAGTGTAGGGTGGAGTGCAGGGTGCTCAGGACAGAGGGTTGGGTTTGGGAGGGGTATGCAGGAGTCAGGATTGGGATGTATGAGGAGCTCAGAGCAGGGGTTTGGGTGTTGGGGGGTGTAGGATGTAGGACATGGGGCTGGCAGTGTGGGGGGAGGTGCAGGAGGCAGAGCAGAGGCTGGGAGTGGGGAAGAGGATGGGGGAGGCCCTGAGGCTGGGTTAACTTACCTGGCCAGAACCGGGCCGCTGCAACCAGACAGCTGTGACTGGATGGG